TTTGGGGGTGTAAAAGGGGGGGGGGGGGGGGGGTTCAGTATCCATTGGAAGGAATTTGTTGATTTAGTAGAATTGGGTGAAGAGAGTGAAGTTCAGTTTATTTTTTCATAGTTAAAGGTCTTATTTTTAGCTCAGTTTCAGTGTTTTTGTGAGGTGTGAATTTGTGTATTTTATTTTTTTCAGAATTAAAGATTTGATTTTGAGATTAGTTTTGATTTATGGACTTGTAAACTCTGTCATAATTAGTTGAAATACAAGGATTTTGAGTACCCATTGGGAGAAATTTCTTGATTTAGTAGAATTGATGGAGAGATAAAGATTGAATGAAGATATTCGGGACAAGGTGGGAGTGACTTTCGCGGTCGACAAGATGAAGTAACGAGATTGAGATTGAGATGATTCGGGCATGTAAGGAGGAGAAAAAGTATTGGAGAGAGGTGGTTAGACATGACATGATGCATCTTTAGTTTATTGAGGACATGTCCTTAGATAGTAGTATATGTGAGGTCGCGTATTAAGATAGAAGGTTAGTAGTTAGTAGATAGGCTTGGTGTTAGTTTTGTGCGCATTATATGTTTCTCCGCTCATACCAGTAGTAGTAGCATTATTCTCGTTGTTTCTTGTCCTGCGATTGCTGTGATTATCTGTTGTCTCATGTGCTTCAAGTTATCGCATTTTTTGGCTGTTGTTATTGTTCCTTGTCTTATGAATGCTATGTAATGCTTTCCCTATTATTTGCTATGTCCTCTTTACTTCTTTATTTTTCTTTTTTCGAAATGCTTACTTGAGCTGAGGGTCTTTCGGAAATAACCTCTCTACCTCGTGGAGGTAGAGGTAAGGTCTGTGTACACACTAGGTATGTTGTCGTTGGGTGAAGAGAATGGAGTTCAGTTTCAGTCTTTACTTGATGTCTGAATTTGTATATCGTTTGCCATAGTTAAAGGTCTGATTTTTAGCTCAGAGTCAATCTTTTCTTGATGTCGGGGTTTTATATGTATTTTGTTATAGTTAAAGGTATGATTTTTAGTGCAGTTTCAAACTTTTTGATGTTTGAATTTGTGTATATTTTACCATGATTAGTTGAATTTCAGGGATTTTTGAGTATCCATTGGAAAAATATAATCTTGATTCAGTAGAAAGGGTGAAGAAAATGGAGTGTAGTTTGAAGGAACATATAACCACTCTTTCTTTTGCTGCTGATGAATCTGTGGCAGAAATGGCTTCTGGAAATTATGGGTATTTTTTCATATTTTTTCCTTTGTTTTCATTCTTTGTATAATTCTAGTTAATGTTCATGATTTTTGTTAATCTTTCTTTCTTTTTTCTTCTTTAGGTGCTCGCATTATAGAAGGAGATGCAAAATTAGAGCACCTTGTTGTGATGAGTTATTTGATTGCAGACATTGCCATAATGACTCAAAGGTAGAAACTTCTGTCATATTCAGTTGATTTTTTTTTGGGTTTTTTCTTCTTTTTATGTGAGAATTACTCTTTAGTTTTTTCATTTCTTGATCAGAATTCTTTAGACGTTGATCCACTCAAACGACACGATATTCCTCGCCATGATATTAAAAGGGTTAGTTTTCAATGTTTTCCCTCTTCTGTTGTATAAAGATTCTATAGTTATGCTTATGTTGTTCGAATTCTTCAAAAATAGCACCCGTGTGTGTGTGTCGAATCCTCCTAAACCTATCCTGAGCAACACATCTTAAAATAGGTAATCCTCTTTCATTAGATAAGGAACGAAGAACACAAAGGGCAGGTGATTTAGGCTTTTTATGTTTTGTGTAATTCTCAATGAAGCTATTCTAGTTTGATAGTGTGAATAGGTAGAACATTTTTCTACTGGGAGATCTGTTTAGCCACATGAGTTTTGTCATCTCCGTAGGAAAATATAGAGAATGTCAAGTGTTTTTTATGATAGATTTTGTTTATATGAAACTGGACTGAGATGAGCTTAAACTGTGTGATATGGAGAATGGAGATTCATATACTCGATCCCAGCTTGCTTTAGATTGAGGCGTAGTTGTTGTAGAATGGAGCTAGCTTTTTCATATATCACCTGATGTTTATCAAATCGCGAAGAACTCAAGAACCATTTTTCTAGTTACTTTATTGACTTGATCTTCTTTATGTAATATCTCTTCTTTCGTACAAACTTATGCTTTGTCTCAGTCACTTTCATTTGCAATTGAGACATATGTGATTATATAATGTGTGAGTGGTCATGGTGTGATTGTAGTACCAAGAATTTGGTTAAGGGTGTCCAAGATTTGATGTATATGTATAAAAAGTAACTTTTGACCTATATACACAATACAATTTTCCGACAAAGGGTGTCGGTCTATATGGCTCCACATTGTATTTGATTAAGATTCTTGTTCATACCTTTTGATGTTGACTGATTTGATTATGCTTTCTCTATATGTTTTTCAGGTCATTTGCTCATTGTGTAATACTGAACAGGATGTGAGTTCCCTCAATTGTTAACGACTCGATTCAAGTTTTTATAAATGTTGAGTTGATGTTAAATTTGCTTGGTCCTTGATTGTGCTTTAGGTTCAACAAAAATGCATCCAATGCGGGGTTTGCATGGGGAAGTACTTTTGCTCAAAATGCAACTTCTTCGATGATGATGTAAAATTCTTTGAATAATTCGTCTACGATGTTGTTTGCTTGATATTTATACTATGGCTTTAACAAGATGATTGCTATTTTTAGGTCTCGAAGAATCAATACCACTGTGATAAATGTGGAATCTGCAGGTTAATATCTTTCTCATACTGTACATCATTATCGGTTCTCTAATGCATTTTCCTAAATTACACCATATTTGTGTAAACACAAAGCCAACGACATCTGAAACATAGGCTGGTCTGTAGTCACAAAATGGGATGAAGGCAACCTTTCTTACGGAGGCACTTCATTTTAAGTGCACGCTAAATAATATCCCGTTAACGAGTTCCATATGTAATTAGGATTACTTGTGGTTGATTATAGATGGTATGGATTAGAAATGATTCAGTCGAGTTTAGTATTCTTGTGTCTCTTTACTTTTTATACCTGCACTACAGCCATAAAAAGACAAGCTATGTTGCTCGGACTCTTCAAAAATGTTGTTGCATCCGTGTCAACAACATACCTAGTGTAATCCCACAACTGGGGTCTGGGGAGGCTGTCTACGATTAGACACTCAGCTCAAGGAAAGCAAAAACACAACACTTGTGGAAACATAACCCGTAACAACAACATGATAGTAATAAAACCGAGGGATAAGAGAACAAATAGTAATAGAAAACTAAGAATGAGAAATATGGAAATAATAAAAATAACGAAAATAATACTAGTAGTACTACCATTTCAGTTAAACTTACATCAGTTGCATCATCTGCACATGCCATTGTATATTTTTGGTGTGGTAACGTGGTGTCTATGTGTATTATTCATCATTTTCCGGTTCAAAATATTTGAAAACAGAACGGGTGGCGAGGAGAATTTCTTTCACTGTGACACATGTGGTGAGTGAGATGCTCAACCTTGAATTAGAACTTAATTCAGCAATAAAAGCTCTTATCAACAATGTTGCTCGGACTCTCTAAAATTGTTGTTGGTGCGTGTCGGATCCTCCAAGAGTAGTGCAATTTTATACTTTTGGGTTATCCGTCATCAGTGCAGCAACATTTTTGGAGAGTTTGAGCATCATAACTTATTAGGTTGTATTTAGTTTGTTAGTGTTATGTAACATCCTTCCTTTTGCAGGATGCTGCTATACAAATTCGATGAAGGAATCACATAAATGTATAGAAAGAGCGATGCACCACAATTGCCCTGTTTGCTTTGAGGTAAGGGCAGAATTCTGACGATAACCCTGAAACGATCCAGGGTACCATAAGGGGGTTACGTCAAAAATTTACACTATATATATAGTGTGTAATTTTTTGACGTTATATGGTAGATTTCAAAACCCCTTATGTGTTGATTTTTTTATATTTTGAACCCCCAAGTAAAATTCCTAACTCTGCCTCTTGATTCTTTCAACTTCATGCAGTATATTTTTGATACAACAAAAAACATCATTGTCTTGCCTTGCGGTCACACAATGCATCTGGAATGTGTCATGCAGATGGAACAACATTTCCAGTACGTATGTGACGTGTTATGATTTTCTATGAACAATCAATTCCTTAATGATCCCATAACAGAACACCCCTCCCCATTTGGTCTATGTTGCTCGGACTCTTCAAAAACATCGCTAGTTGTTTGTCGGATCCTCCAAAAGCTATGCATTTTGGATGATCCGAGCAACATAGATTTTGGTTGCATTGTGCTCGGTTCCAATAATTTGTGCATGCAGGTATTCTTGTCCTGTTTGCTCAAGATCATACTGTGACATGTCTCGAGTCTGGGAACAACTGGACCAGGAGGTACATACTACATACTCCCTCCATTTCAATTTGTTTGTCTGTTTTTTACTAGACACGGAGCTCAAGAAAACAAAGATGGCATTTGGATCTTCCGATCTTAAGCTAAAAATATGTAGAATGTACCAAAATGACCTTTAATGTCTTAAACGTGTCGTGTGGAAAGTTAGAACTAAAGAGTTGTCAAAAAAGGAAAGATTATTTCTTAAACGGACTAAAAAGGACAGTAAGACAAACAAATTGAAACTGAGGGAGTAGTTACTAAGCTGATTGACGTTTTTTTTCCCGACTCTTCTCTTCAAACTGACAAGTTCATCTATTTTCTAATTCTAGGTTGCGTCAACAGCTATGCCTGAAATGTATCAGGACAAGAAGGTAAGAAACAAGTTTGTCGATCCATTTGAAATTTCGTACATGAATTTGATCGCCTTTTACCTTACATTTGAATTTCGTTGAATTTTAGGTTTGGATTCTTTGCAACGACTGTGCGGAAACATCTGAGGTTAACTTCCATATAGTAGCACATAAATGTCCAAGTTGCAAATCCTATAATACAAGGCAGACAAGAGGAGGGTCCAGTTCATGCTCTAATATTACCGATATGATCAGATGAGGTTCTTGATCGCGACATTGGATCAGATTTTTTCTTCAAATTACTATTTGCCTGATTATAAACGATGAAATCAATGCCCACGAGTCACGACTGCAACAATTGGTATGATTATAACTTCATTATTTTCCATGAGTTTACCTCAGAAAGCATCGAGGAGGAATTTACATGTCATTGCTTGCAACAAGGGAGTTGTTGAACATTCTTTACTTATTCTTTCACGTAATCTCTCTCTGTATTGCTTTATGTAGAGATGGATTTAGGATTTTAATTTTATAAGTTCTGAACTCACAGTCCTTTTTTACTTTTCTAGCTTCGAGATGGATTAGTTATATGTATTGAGTGGATTCTCCTCAACACAAATACAAGTTCTGGAGGAAAACTATTGAATTCTGTTGAACTCGTATCTTGTACTGTAGAATACAAGAAGATATTCCAAAATGAACTTTGATTAGTAGTATTTGTGCAAAACTTAATTAAACTTGACAACAGTGTAGATTTTGTTCTTTGATCTGCCTAGTATTCGAAATTCACTAGCCTGACTAATCTAGATTGACGTCATGTAAGGTCTACTTGAGGGAATGCTATCTCTACTAGGAGTTTTTCCATTTTCGAGGCTTAATGACAGATACTCACACACTCTTTTTGATTAACAAATTGAAAGTGTGATTTTTCTTATCCAGAGGTCTTGGTTTCGATCCGTTTGAATAGAAAAATCTTTGATAGGAAGGCTCTACGCAATATGAATCTGGCTTAGTCAGTACAACTATTGTTATTTTTGTTCTTCCTGTCTTCCATCAATATTCAGATAAAACTTTAGTACAAATATAGAATACATTTTTTTTCTTTTTTCTACTACATTTTTTCAAAATTCTATAGAAGAAAAATGTAGTCCCAGAGACGATTTTGATAGAAAATGTTTTACTCCCAGATGAGACTTTTCAACACGAATTTGAACTAGTCGGATCTCAAAGCAGGTAGTGGACATTGACATGCTCTAGTGCTTGGAGAATAAAAGTTGAATTTTTCTCTTGTTATGTGGTTGCACTGGCCTTGCATTTCTCTCAGCATGCTGAAATAATAATAACAATAATTAGAGCCGTCAAAAAGGGCTTAGCCCATGGGGCCAGCCCGACCCAACCCGTTATTGGGGTAGGGTTGGGATAGTATTTTACAAGCCCATTTAAAATCGGGGCTTATAAGCCCAACCCTTTAGGTCCTTAGCCCTTGAGGCTTGATCGGGGCCGGGCCGAGGTCAGCCCATGAGCCAAATTATTTAATTTTAATTAAAATAAATATAAAAAAAATAAGAATAAAAAACTAGAAAACATAAATAAGTGTTTGTGGAGTTTTTCTAAGGAGCTTACCTCATGAATTTCTTTATTATTTAGTTTTGAATATAAGACTTGGATAGTAAACACTATTTATATTATATGTGATAGAATGTTTTATGGCTTGAACAATTAATTAGTTTCTTGATTACATTTTAAAAAATACTTTAAGTAATTATATATTGCTAACTAAAGTTTTAATCAGAAGTGTTCTTTAGTTTACTAGTTTGTTTTTCAGATATTATTATTTTTTCTTTAAATATTTATTGCTAGATTTTATTTAGAATTATTGAAACAATGTTATTGTTTATGACATTGATTTGACATAAAAAAGAGGGTCAGCCCGCCCCAGCCCTTGACCCTTCTGGGGTTGGGCTGAGTTGACCATTTTACAGCCCTTGGAATGAAGGGCCGGCCCGCCCCAGCCCATCAAATTCTTTGGCCCGCGAGGCTTGGATGGGGTAGGACTGGCCCGGCCCATTTTAACAGCTCTAACAATAATAATAAATATTATTTTACATAAAATATAGTCCAAATCAAACTAAAAAAACAATAGAAGCTAGAACATTTTTATTCAATACAAAACATTCGAAAAACTACTTTTAAAATGTTATTTCCTTTATTTCATTTTATAATCTCATAATTTGATCTGACACAGAATTTTTAAAGTAAAAAACAAAACTTTGAATGTTGTGTTTCATATTAAATATAGGTATAATCTATTAAAATGTATTTGAATATTTATGATTTTAAACATGTCAGGTGAAATATTAGAATTTAAAATATATATAAAAAGATTATTTAAAAAAATAAAAAAGTAGGACGCATAAATTAAAACAACTGAAATAATAAAAAATAGAGGGGAACTTACATCATGTACAGCTTTTCTAAGCAAATTCACTTGAAATCTTGAAACAGTTTCTACCTAAAATAAATAATGTTTAATTAATCATTTAGTTCTAATAATCTCATAAATTTTTTAATAATATTTAAATTTTGGATTATTTTTTTTTAAAAAAAATTACCTTCTTGTTGACTAGCCAAGTAACACCTTCTGTGCAAGGAGGAATAGTGAGTGAACCCTTGTACTCATAGTAACTTTCTCTATAAATATTATTAGTAATATACTTTGGATTAATCATGCCCAAACTCCTCTCTTCACCTTCTTGATCTATCATAGATAATATATGTCCCTTCAACTATAATCAATAATCACAAAAAAAAAAATCATCAAAAATAATATAAGAGTTGAGTATATATCGAAAGGGAATGTTGGAGCAACGATAAATACGATTAAAAAATCACTGAAAAAAGTTTAGAGTTTTTTTTCACTGGTATTTGATTGAAACGGTAAGAGAAAAAAAAATAAGGAAGTTTTCCACTATTTCAAAAGGATTTTTTTTTCCACTATGAATTTTCCTACTAGTAAAAAAAATTATTACTTGTATAATATTTACTTACTTAAGACTAATTTAAATCGAGAACATTGTATAATATTTGCTTAATTAAAACTAATTTAAACCGAGAACATGATTAATGATAATTCATATAGCCAACTTAATTTATTTGAAATTGAGGTGCAATCATTATATTAGCAAAAACTTAAACTCTCATCCCCATTTTTATCCTCACAGAGTACTTTATACCTTTTTTTTTTAGGTTCAACTAAATTAAATTTACGTCGATAAATTTATTTATTATTGACAATAAATAGATTTAGTAAAAAAAAAAATACTTACTATAAAAATAAATGGATCTGGTTTGCCAAATTTGTAAAGGACAGCATTTACAACAACCTTTTTATCCACCTGCTCCTGGTGAACCATATGCAATTCCAAGGCATACCTATCATTCAAATCATATCAAAAAATAATTAAAGTAGATAAAAAGGTCACAAAAATAAATTTTTTTACATTTAAAAATAATTTATGTTTATTCTTAGTGAATAATTTATAAGACATAAATATTGATAATTTATTTTACAGCTCAAGTATTGAAAAGTTTTCTCATAAAGAAAAACTGCTCCAACATAAAAAGTAATATTAAATTTAAAATATATTCTCTTAAACATTAAAACGATCTTGAAAAAGATTATATATCAAATCAGATACAAAAATAGCAAATAAATAAAGAGAAGGATTCAGTGAAATATTACTTATCAATCTTGCCTTATATATAGATGTACCTATCAAAGTAGTAGTTTAATTTGTGGTGGAAATATTTTTGGCAATCATATTTATTAGGTTATTAATTAACATTTATTTCAATATTTAAATGTAATTACCTTATAAGTTATCTAACTGTGAAAATAATTTTACATTATTCGTTGGTGAATAAAAATTAATTTTTTTATGTGTGTTAATTAATTATTATTAAGGATAAAATAATTAATTAAAAAAAGTAATAGCTTAGTTGATTGACTAGCTGATCTTTTACTTTGTTGGTAAGAGTTCAATCCTGCATCTTGTAATCCCTTTTCCCTACCTCATTTTTTTCAAAAAAATTAATTTTATTTTGAACTACTAAAATAATAAATAATTTGAGATAATTATTTTTAAAAATAACAATAGATAATGTAAAACGGAGGGAGTAAAATATTATTGGTACCTTCTACCATTAATAGTATGTTCAGATGGTGAATGCCAGTGAATTTGTATAAGAGAGTAGTTTGTGTTATTCATCAAAATTGATCCAGCATCCCCATGCCAATGCAACTGCATAGATATAAAAATAAATAAATTATACTATAATCATAAGATCATAGATGGATTCAGAATTTAAATCATATTGTTCCAACTTGGGATTTCATTGCAACTAATTTGATACTTTCGATTTGTTATTAATTATTCGTAGTTGTCTAATGAATCCATGGACCTATAACTAACATTTTCCGATCCACAAATAGTATAAGTAAAATTCACAAATAGTCATGTTTCTCCCATAAGATAGATTTTTCAAAAATCTTGAAAGGAAACTTTTGGTTGAAATTTGAAACTTCAAGATAGTGACTATTTTTTAGTAGTCAATAAGCACTAGTTCTACCTAATAAATACACATTGACCTGTTTATAAAGAGTTAGCATTTTATTCAGTAGTAGAATATATGAAAAAGTATAATAACGTATAGCAGACTTTATCCCTACCTCGAAGAGATAGAGAAGTTGTTTTCAAAAGACTCTCGAGTCAAGTGTAGCAACTCAAAATATTTACAAAAAAGGTAATATAACAGTTGAAAAACATATCAATGAATAAGGAAAGTTATATCATTTAAAGAAAAGAAGCAATAACAACAACGAAATAATATGATAACTGATTTGCTAATAATATTGAATCTTTTCATGATATCACTTGTAATTTGTAAAAGGAAAGAAATAAGACACAATAAAATCAATTAGAATATTCTAAAAATGGTGAATATCTTTAATAAAAAATTAAATACTTACTGAAATATCATGTCCTCTATTTCTTATGGTAGAATTAGTAGGCTTGTAATGTTTCATGTGACCCAATTTTCTCATATTTTTGACTCTACAACTTGAAATATCAATTGGAGATTGCATTTTCCCATTCTTGCAAGTTTCCCATTCTTTATTTAGATCTCCCCATTTACTTGGTCCCTTCTTACTCCTTTCATTATAATCAAACTTCACCTCATCCTCAATTTCTACACATCAAAAAGGTCAAATTAATGTCAATATACATCAAGCAATGGAAATTAGAAAGAAAAAAAAAAGAGTAGGAAGAAACATTTGAATATGGAGAGCAGGCGAATCAGAATCTAGATTCAGTGAGTTTAATAAAAAAATAACATCGTTGGCCAATTTCTTGCATGTTGTTGAAAAATTGAAATAGCCTTAGAGTTTCAAATTTGACTATTGAAATTAAAGGACAATATCATAGAGTTTCACACTCGTGAAAATTGAAACTTCATGAATTATACATGGGTTGAAAAGTGACTATTTTCGGATTTGACCCCCATAGTTTGAAACAAAAATAATAGATTCGATTGAATCCATGCACAAAGTCCCTTTTAGAATAGGCCTTGGAAATAGAAAGAAGAGGATAAAATGTATATAATGAGTTCATCTGAACTCAATAGCTTTGGTTTTGATTCTCTATATGAATTGAGA